AAAAAAAAAAAAAAAAAAAAAAAAAAAAAAAAACAGAAAAATAGGGGGAAAATGAGAAGATGTGACATCAGACTATCATCATCTCATATGAAAAGGAAGAATATTACGAAATGTTTTCTCCCTAACATTTGAGTGCCTTCATATCTTATAATAATTTCCTTCTAAGGTACAATTTAGGCAAATATTTTGTTATCTTATCTTCAAGAACCATCAAAATAAACAGTTTTTTTTTTTCTTCAAACCGAAGCAACATATAGTTTTGAATAAAAATTCGTTGTGACCATATAAAAGCCACACGAATATTTTGAATAATATTACTTCAATTAGTTCGTATTTGTTGTTTGCCGTTCTTTTTGTAGGCCAATTCAAAATATACAATGAAGATCAATTTGCAAGGGATCAAAAAGTTATTCTCTTTTAATGGTACGTGTGGAATTATCATTGAACCGCATTGTTGCTCACCCTGAAACACGTTTTAACTTTTTTCTCTTATCTTTTACATAAATTTGTATAGCGACCCCGACAGACGACCCGAACCCAGAATCCCTCGACATCCGAGAGGAGTACGGAAACGCGTTTCGTACTGAATCATACAATGATTTTTGGACACATGTCCTCACCCTAAACAAAGGTCGTCTCGCCACACATAGAAGCCTCAGCTCCACCTCGGCCGCCCGACTCCCGTCTTACCGTCTCTTCGCCGAGCAACTATTGGATCCCGACCAATCCACGGCCACACGAATCCTCGGCTTGACCCGAGCCCACCCAAAAATATTTTCCCTCTTAACTGAGTATTTTTCCCTAACATCAAACGCCTCTCACTTGTGCGGACTTCTCCTCAAGGACATTGATCGCATAAGAAAACGATACAAATTCTCCCTCGAAACCCCACTCAACCCTAACTCAAACGGGTTGGGCCGGGAAATATCCCACTTGCCCCTCGTCCTGGCCCGAATCACTCTGTTATCGCGATCCAACCCGTTTTCCACGGCCGCCCCTTCCATGAGCCGTTTCGAGTCCGTCCAAACCGATTGCACGGACC